ATAGGTGAATCGTTGCATTGTGGTGCTGGCTTCTATTTCACTTGGCAAGAAGTTCCATATGCTCCTATTTTTACCTGTAAAGAAGTTGGAACGAGATTTCGTTCGACAAAGAGTATGGCTTACGTTGAAGAAGTAAAGTAAAGGTTGTTATTAGGAAAGGAGAGGTACATTATTCTTCTGAGAATTTTAAATAGGAGAATGAGGTTGAGTCGTTGACGCCTGAACCAAAGGGGTTCGATCTTAAGAGTCGTGCGACGATAGTTGTAGGGAACCTTTGGACTTGTTCCTGAAATTCTACTTGTGAATCTCCTTAACAGAGGTGCTACATAGCACAAATGGACATTACTCAAGGGAGGGGGGCGTGTGTGCTTTTTATACAGTAGTATTTTAGATTCTTGGGCTTGGAAGTTATGAAATATAAGTCCAAGTAATCTTCTAGCTTCAGAAACCTGGTTGGTAACATGGTGAGAGGATCGAAAATCAGCACAGTATTTGAGCCTGGGGTCAAGTAACGAAGGAAAAATGGTGATTGGCTTTATTTTATTATTTATTTAAACGCATAAAAACTTGGTACAATATGGCACCAAGAAGGATGCATCACACAATAATAATAAAACAACATAGGTCAAAAGAAAAGAAAGAAAGAAGATATATATGTATATATATAAGTAGAGAACGGATAAAGGATTTCATCTGGAAGGAAAACAGTCATGCTTAACGAGTTCAAACAGTATTCGTTAACTATGATCGGGAAGGGAAGAAAGAAGGAAACTGCTACACGTGTAATAGCACGCGATAAGTTTCATTGATTGTTTGTTGCTTTATTCAATTCATTGTGTGAGGGCTGAGATACTGCCCGGGCGCCCAGACCGAAGAAGGTGGTTTTATTAAGGGACCACCCCCCGAGCCTTTGAATTGGAGTCTAATCCGCAAGGCAGCGGAGCAGCGTCAGGAGCTGCATCCCCGTGGTTACCGGTGGCCCATATGGGTTCATACGCCATTTGATCCGATTGGATACTGGAGCCCATGTACCCCGTGGTAACTGCTTTTAGTTTAACCGCTATCCAAACAACCTTCCTGACATGGTAGGACCTGCAGGCACAACTTCCCAGTCAGTTTAGCATGTTGGGTCATTACGGTATTCAAGCCCGACCACCACGACAAGGTAGCAGTTATCGGCTGGGTGGTGATTGGCTTGTCGCGTCGGTGGCACAGTGGTTAGGACTCTCGCCGACCATGCACATGGTACGAGGTTCGAGCCCTCGCCGACGCACAACTGATATCTATGGTCGGCCTGCAAAATTTGGGTTACCGATATCCATGCTGAAAATTTCATACTTGTACCAAAAATACGGTGTGGAATCAAGCTGTAATCAAAAATAAAAAAAAAGTTATGTATTGTGTGATACGAAGGCGATTTAAGCACAACAGACTGCACTTCCCTACGTTGATCTGCATCGTCCACGACTTACACTAAGTCTCAATGTCATCAATATCCGACTGGATTTTATGAGACAGATTTGTTACTTCTTGGGTGGTACTGTGGTAGACCACCTTCAAGTCATTGGCATATAAGAAGGGTCTGCCAGGGTTTATAACATCACAGGTGTCATTTAGGTATATAAGAAAGAAGAGGGATCCTAGTACACTGCCTTGGATTATGCCACTTGATATAAGGGTGGTACCATAAAATTTGTCGTTAATCTTAATAGATTGGGACTGACCACATATAAATGAATTACACCACTGTAAGAGATTGCCAGATGTACCGTAAGCCTTAAGCCTTAATTAATCACAGAAAATTTTCCACATTTACAATAGGGGTAATTTCAAAAACATGCAGCACATAAAGTGGAAATAATAATAATAATGATAACAGCTAAGGTAATAATAATAATACAAGTGGAAATTGCCGTGGGCCTGTTTCACACAGTATTGTCGATTCGGTATAGAAATCCTAGCATGTTTAAAAATATTGAATATAATGTTCTCTTTACATGATATGGTGAGGGGAAAAACAAAGATTACAGCCGTCATGGAGATAAGCTGGTGTTTGCAATTTTGAGAGTAAAAGAGAGAAATAATAGGACAATAAGTATAATAGAAATAATAAAAGTAAAACTTGAAGGTATATAAGGATGGATGGAGGAAATTGTTTATTTACTAGATGAAAAAAGATTAGTTAATTCTTGCCTGATACTATTTTCACTATCACATAAAATCCGTGCCAAGTATGGTATCATAGAATTTTTTCTACTTGGACGTGTGAGCATACAGTTTTCTGAAGTTACTCCTTGTTCTACCTGAGAAGGAGATGCAAGGTGAAAGGAAGCTGAGGGTAAAGTGGATGCTCCAAGTCAGACAAAATCCCTCTAGCAAATTTATTGCACGAAGTCCAGTGCCTATCGACAGCGACGTTAACTATGTGGTCCACTGGGACACCATTCAGCCTACTGACCGTCTTCAGCATTCTACGGATTGTGACATGGTCCTTTTTAAGCAAACCAGGAAAGAATAAGCAGGGGTGAACAATAAAGAAGAATAGGTAGGATGCAAGAGTTTATGAACTGTAAGAGGAGGGGTTGAGTTATACCCGAGTGTCTTAACTTCTTAGTGTAAAATGTCAGGCGGAATATTTTACTGGAGATCGCTAAGACATGGGAAGACCAGGAGAGATCAGAAGAGAGAATGAGTCCAAGATACTTAATTTCTGATTTGATTCCTATATCATTGTCGTCAATTTTACAACTGTCATGAGAATCGACGACTTCTTTTAACTGTCGTTTACATCTTAAGCTGAAATCAACAGTTTGACACTTAGAAGGATTCAGTTTAAGACCGTTAGACTCAGACCACTTACTGACTCCCGACAGAAAGCTATTTATTTTGGTACAATCTAGCTGGGAGTTAACAGCCATTGAAACTGTTAAATCATCGGCATACTTAACAAAGTTCATTTCGTTATCAGAGTGAGGCAAGTCATGCAGGAAGAAAGAAAAAAGAAAAGGAGAAAGGACAGCGCCTTGAGGGACACCAGCTTCAGCAGGCAATGAAGTGGAAGACTTCCCTTTATATACGGTGTGTTGCTTTCTTTCTGAGAAATAGGAGTGTAACCAGTTAACAGCCCAAAATTCTGTTAGACTTGCAGCAAGTTTATTTTATAAGATGTTCCTAGGGTCCGAGTCAAAAGCAAATGTATAGTCTGGGAAGGCACAACGAACAAATTTAGCCCTCTTGTCTAGACTGGAAGCAATGTTATGTTCATAAGGTCAATATACATAATGAGCACAACGAATTTTTTGTCTTTAAGTCCAGTTATAAAATCAAATAGTTCCAAGTGGCAAGTCATAAATGACCTGGACTTTATAAAACCATGGTGAGAAGGTGTTATGAGGTTTTCAGTCAATAAGAAGTCAGTGATTTTAGTACTGATTCTCTTCTCTCAAGTATCCTTGACCAGATATGTTACATTGATTGGCCTATAATTCTTTACATCATATTTTGATCCGGATTTAAATCTGGGGAGAATATGTGTTGACTTCCATTTAGAAGGATAAACTCCGTTCTTGAGTGACGTTGAAAGTACTTTAAGCAAAAAGAGAGGAAGATCGGAGCCACCATTTGTTAGGAAAGATGCGAGAATTGAGTCAGGTTCAAATGTTATTCGAGAATTTCAATGAACTGATTGCATTTTTCATAACATCAACTGTCAAGCATATATTTGACAGTGTTTTGTCTGTTACAGAGTCATAGTTGATGCATGCAGAAATATCGTGCGTGAATGAGTTAGAAAGGTGCTTGTTAAAGAGTTCAGCTATGCCTGAATCGTCCTTAATAGGGACATTATTTTGAAGCGTGTAAGGAATGTCACCTTGTTTTTGTTGCAGTTTATTTTGAAAGAGTTTGAAAAGAGAAGTTATTTTGCAGTTACTTCTAAGGGCAACAAGTTCTTCTTTGTAAGTTTTATTGGCATTATCTGATCCGATTTCATCATATACTTTTAGGATACTAATGAGCGAGAAGAAGAAGTTTTACAGAGTCTTCTTACCTTGTTCCTGGTAGCATTCGGTATATATAGTTGAGTTACACATTTACGTTCTGATTTATACTATGGGATTGATTCGTTGAAGCAGACTGATATGTTGCAGTAGAAACTGACAAGAACAGTATCAGTGTCTGCTGAAGAGAAGAAAGTATCCCAGTCTTGACAACGAGTAAAGGACACCGTTGTTTCCCACTCAGCCTTTGGAAATCCTTTGACTTTTATTGTCTGATGACGACCTTTGTCTGTCTCAGTAGCTGCTAGATTTGTTGAGTACGTAACAATGTGATTGTACACTTTTTAGGTACTTGTATAAATTCGAGATATTGTACATAATTTTTGTTTAAATCGCTTCTTGTTGAAATATACATAATTTCCGTGTACGATTGAAAAATACACTCTGCTGTTGGAGACTTCGTCTTCTCCCTGGTCACCTCTACTTACTTGCTCCACTCACACCGTGTTGTATACTTTGGATTTATTGTAGGAGCCTACTACTTTCATCCGAAGACATTTCTACAACCGGAACACAGCAGCTACAGCAGACGCAGTCCAAACAGTTAACGTGCCTGTGGATTATATAATTAATTTGTAGCCGAGGACTTACACTTTATAACCAAGTAATCCTTTTTGTTGCTATAACTCGTCACTGTATTTTTGGTAATATATTGTGATTTAACACTCCACTGACTTGGATTATTACTTTTATACTTGGAATGTTAGTGAACTCTAATATTAGTCCCCTACAAATTAATTGGTGAGCCCGATAAGAACACGGATTATTTTGGCATATTCATATTCTTATTTTTGCTATTTTTATATTCATTGTGATTTTGTGTGTGGTTTATATTTGTATCCTAATTTGCACCAATAACCTCATATTATAATGTCATCACCTCAGTCCGGTACATCAAACGAGCAGACAACTAATAGCGAGACAAATGCCACAATAAATGCCATCACTGATTTTCGTTTACCCCAATACGGTTTCGCAGAACCAAGGATTTGGTTTGCGGTAATTGAACCGTTGCTAGAAGCACGGGGCATTAAGTCCCAAATAGCCAAATATGGTATGGTGCTGGCAGAACTCCCTCCGTCAGTATTGACAGAAATCAGCGATTTCATCGAAGATCCTCCGACGGAACATCAATTTGATAAACTTAAAGCCCTCCTCATACAACGTACCAGTTTGTCGGATGAGAAAAGAATCCAACAATTGCTCACAGGCTGTGAACTAGGCCCACGTAAACCATCCCAGCTGCTCAGGCACATGCGCCAGTTAATCGGACACCATAAAGTAGACGAGGTAGTGCTGAAACAGATGTGGTTGCAACGTTTACCTAGAAATGTCCAGCAAATTTTAATCATCTCAGGAAAGTCGTATGACTTAGACCAACTAAGTGACATGGCAGATAGTATTTTGGATGTTTTATCCGATAACACCATAAGTCACGTAGCATCTGATAGTGCCACACCGTGTCATTCCACACCCACGGCAGACACACCGATACTCGCCGCCATTGCAGACTTAGCGGCAAGGATTGACAATTTGGAAACTAATAAGTCTGATCGACAAGTCCGGAGACGGACTTCACAAAGAAGGTCACCATCACGACGACGATCCTTCTCACGACAGCGTTCTTACACGTCTTCTCGGGATAGCAATATATGCTGGTATCACTGGAAGTTTGGACGTCATGCCCTGAAATGTGTAAAACCGTGCAGCTTTAGCGAAGCCAACCAGGCTCAGGGAAACGCCTCAGCCAGACAGTGATGGCGACAGCTGTTACTGGCAAGCAAACAAGTCGCCTCTTCTATGTGAAGGATAAAACTTCAGACACTTTATTCCTGGTAGACACGGGAGCAGAAGTTAGCGTAATCCCTCCTTCACTATCCAGGCGATCTACACGGACACCCGGAAAACTGTCTCTCCGGGCAGCTAACCACACAAGCATACAGACGTATGGAGAGCAATCGCTCATACTGGATCTAGGTTTACGTCGGCGTTTCACATGGATTTTCATAGTAGCCGACGTCAGTCACGCCATCCTCGGAGCAGATTTCTTGAGTAATTTCAACCTGTTAGTTGACGTCAACAATAAAAAACTGATTGATAACAACACCCATCTAAAGATCCATGGAATTATCTCCAGCTATTCTGTCTATAATATCAGTATTGAAAGACCAGCAGATTGCCCTTTTTCCTCCCTACTTCACCGTTTCCCTAAAATTCTTAAGCCGTCGTACAACATCGAGGACGTCCCTCACACAGTTACTCACAAGATAGTTACTACGGGTCAACCAGTTCGTGCTCGTCCCGTAGATTACCCCCGGACAAATTGGCAGCAGCCAAGGCAGAATTTGAACACATGATGCAGCTCGGCATCATCAGACCCTCCAATAGTCCTTGGTCTTCGCCCTTACACATGGTGCCTAAAGCTGATCATGATTGGAGGCCATGTGGGGATTACCGACATTTAAACAATGCCACAGTTCCCGACCGTTATCCTATTCCTCATCTTCATGATTTCTCCCTGACATTACACGGAAAAACCATTTTTTCTAAAGTAGACTTGGTCAGGGCCTATCACCAAATACCAGTTGCCCAAGAGGATATCGAAAAAACAGCCATCATCACACCTTTCGGTTTGTTTGAATTTCTCCGCATGCCATTTGGCCTAAAGAACGCAGCACAATCCTTCCAACGTTTCATGGATCAGGTCACACAAGGTTTGGACTTTGTATTTGTATATATCGATGACGTTTTAATTGCTAGCTCGTCGCCCGAAGAACATACTGATCACCTCACCATCTTATTTCAACGATTTGAGCAATATGGAGTCGTCATTAACCCCAAAAAGTGCATATTCGGTGTCTCCTCTATACAGTTTCTGGGACACCACATAACCACGAATGGTATTACGCCTACGGAGGAAAAGATAGAGTCCATCAAAAACTTCCCCGAACCAGATTCACTCAAGAAGGTCAGACGTTTTTTGGGGATGTTTAATTTCTACCGGCGTTTCATTCCTTCGTGTGCCTCCATCGTCCAGCCGTTAACCGACCTCCTTAAAAATGATCCTAAAAAGTTTCAGTGGTCAGCTGAAGCACGCGAATCATTTTGCAACGCAAAAGATGCCTTATCCAGAGTTACTATGCTATCCCATATCAACCCCGAAGCGTCGCTTATTTTGTGCACAGATGCCTCCCAAGTAGCTGTAGGGGCAGTATTACAACAAAAGATGAAGGGCGAAGTCACCCCACTCGCATTCTTTTCTAAGAAGTTGGAACCGGCTCAGACACGATACAGCACTTTTGGGAGAGAATTGCTGGCCATATATCTTGCAGTGAAGCATTTCAGTTACTTACTACAGGGCCGGCATTTCACTATTTTTACTGACCACAAGCCCCTGTGTCATGCTTTCACTACTTCACTTGATAAACACTCCCCTAGAGAAGCCAGACAGTTGGATTATATCTCCCAATTTTCAACCGACATTCAGTACATCAAAGGGGATGCGAACGTGGTAGCCGATTCTCTTTCAAGAAGTGACATTAACCAGCTCCAAACGTCGGTAGACATCAGTCTTGATCGTATGGCTCAATTACAAAAAGATGACGTTGAACTCCAAACCTGCCGCAGAAACTCTTCCTTACAACTCAAAGATGTGCCTATCCCCTTATCAGATGCAACCATAGTCTGCGATGTATCTACCGGCACTAATCGTCCATTTGTCCCTCTCAGTTGCCGAAAAGCATTGTTCGAACATTTACATTCGCTTTCTCACCCTGGAGTACGCGCCACGGTCAGACTGATCAGCGAACGCTTCGTGTGGCCTAAAATGAACTCTGACATTCGGAGATGGGCACGAGAATGTATCCAATGCCAATGCTCCAAAGTACACCGCCACACTATTACAACCCCGAAGACGTTTAAATTACCCGAAAGGAGATTTCAGCATATCCATATAGATATCGTGGGACCATTGCCAACATCAAGGGGATATACACATATCCTGACAGCGATTGATAGATTTACTCGTTGGGCTATTGCATGCCCCTTAAACGACATATCTGCTGAAAACGTTGCTTTAGTTTTTCTCGACCGTTGGGTGTCAAACTACGGTGTACCAACTACTATTACATCCGACCGCGGTCCTCAATTCCAATCGACACTCTTTCGCGAACTGACGAGACTTCTGGGAGTGAAACATATCTCCACAACAGCCTATCATCCGGCAGCGAATGGTCTAGTGGAAAGATTCCACAGACAACTGAAAAGCTCCCTGATGGCGCAGAATGATACATCTAAGTGGAGTGAATACTTACCTTTGATTTTACTTGGTATCCGATCTACTATCAAAGAAGATTTAGGATGTACACCGGCTCAACTTGTCTATGGCACCAACCTAACCTTGCCTGGACAGCTAGTCCCCTCAGCCGATTCCACAGACGTGAACATTGCCGACTTCACTAACCGATTAACTAGACAAATGCTTCAACTTCAACCAACAGCACCTCGACAATCTCCCCGACGAGATCAGATCAACAAACATCTACAAACTTGCAAATTCGTCTTCATTCGAGTCGACGCCATCAGAAAAGGATTGCAACCTCCATACGAAGGACCCTTTCAAGTTATTAAACGTTCAGACAAACACTTTACCGTGAACAAGAATGGAAAACGAGAGACTATTTCCATTGATCGAATCAAACCCGCATACACCGACAACGACTTCGAATCTACATCGGCAACTGCGCAATCAAATAATCAAACATCCGATTCCACTCCACCGGCACCAAGTCTTATCCTCCCTCCATATCAAACACGTAGTGGTCGGCAAATCAGTAAACCGGCTCGCTACGTTCATTTTGAGGACTAACAAAAGAAAAATAATTAAAAATTATTATTATTTTTTTCGTTTAGACATTATCATCATGACCGTTAGTATTTCGTCGTAAACTTTGATGTTACTATCACTATTATTTATTTATATGTACCTCACCGAAAAAACAGGTAGTGTCCTTTCCAAAAACTACTGATCTTTAATCCATATTTTTTTTAATGTTTCTTTCCCCTCCTTAATTACTGTGTATTTACATATTTTTCTTTATACATTAAAAATCTATGTTCATGGTTAGTGCAAATTTAAGTGACATGACTTTCTATTTCAATTTTTATTGCTGAACTTATTGTATATGCTTTCAGACTTTACATGATTCACATACCTTCTCGCGTTTATGCATGTTGTAATATATCCCTATTTTTATCCAAAAGTTGCTATTACTATTATTACTTACTTCATAGTTTTACGTATCATTTTCCGGTTGTCTCTCCGGACCTCTAGGGGGGAGCCGTGTTGAGTACGTAACAATGTGATTGTACACTTTTTAGGTACTTGTATAAATTCGAGATATTGTACATAATTTTTGTTTAAATCGCTTCTTGTTGAAATATACATAATTTCCGTGTACGATTGAAAAATACACTCTGCTGTTGGAGACTTCGTCTTCTCCCTGGTCACCTCTACTTACTTGCTCCACTCACACCGTGTTGTAACTTTGGATTTATTGTAGGAGCCTACTACTTTCATCCGAAGACATTTCTACAACCGGAACTGCAGCTAAACAGCAGACGCAGTCCAAACAGTTAACGTGCCTGTGGATTATATAATTAATTTGTAGCCGAGGACTTACACTTTATAACCAAGTAATCCTTTTTGTTGCTATAACTCGTCACTGTATTTTTGGTAATATATTGTGATTTAACACTCCACTGACTTGGATTATTACTTTTATACTTGGAATGTTAGTGAACTCTAATATTAGTCCCCTACAGATTGAAGGCAGAAATGAGTGTGTTTTGGTCACTATCAGGGGATGTACTAGATGAGGATTTACGCAATCGTTTACAAGTACAATACGAGTCTGATATCTCACATGCCTTTAAAAGTGTTTTCCTCAGTGTTCTAATGTTGGCACTGTCGGGCACACTGAAAACAAATGTGTTATACACATACAGGACACGCTTTATCACTTCCGTGGAAGTATGATAAATAATTCTCTCACAAGACTGTAGTGTATAGTAGTCAGAATAATCAAGAGGTTTAATCAAATATCTAAGAGTTAAGCGATCTTGGACTAATGGAAGAACGTTTGTATTTACTAGATTATTGGGTTGGGTGGATGTGTATTGCAGGGATAATGAGCTACTCGCTTTTCCAAATTGAGCATTAGGTTGACGTCCACGTGTCGTTGATGACAGATGGAAATCGTTACAATGGAGAGCTTTGTCGGTAATAGTAGCGATGGTGCTACAATCAACCTTGTGTACTGACACATGTATACCCTACCTTAAAGCATCCGTTTTTAAGTAGAACTAGATGATAGCAAATCTGCCTGTGTATTTCGAGGATTATCTAGGTCGACGTCTATGGTTACAAAGCACTTAGGCGAGTTATCATTTCTTTTGACAGAGCCAAAAGAATCGATATCAGCCGGTGCAAATGATAATGAGGCTATATGTATGTTGAGGCCTTCTGACTGACAGTTCTGAGCAGGGTATTAGGATAGTGTGGATTCAACCACATCAAAAGAGCTGATGTCTTATCTCCTATTGAGGTCCAGTGTGCCTTGGCAGGTACGCATAATACCTGTCTCATCACATTAACCACTGTAAATATCCCTAATAAAACCACTTATTACACAAGATGGTGAAGAGTTGATAGTACCTGACCTGAGCTTGTTTGGTTTCTATATTAGGTCAGAGGAGGGTGTATCACTATGCTGTTTAGTCTTAATAGATCTGTGTCGTTTGCTGACGTTTTCAGCCGATAATGAGGCACGATGCTTGGATTGATTGACTGGCATTTTGTATGAAGTTTCTAAGCGGCTGGCAGACTGAAGGTACATGAGTCTTTGACGGTTCGATGCTATGTCAAATAAACAGTTGTAATGTGGAGACTTGAAGTCAGCTGCTCGAATTGTTAACACCTTAGAAAGTGATCTGAACTGGGAGAAATAGTAAGGATAATATCCAGTTGCTAGATAGGCAAATTTAATTGTTACAAAGAAAATATTAAAAAACGAAAACTATATAAAAAAGTAACACAAACTTCGGAAAGTAGGTATTCATGCTTCCACCCATATCTAGTATGTTATTTAGACTGTGTAGGTGATTTAGCATTATTTTTGGTAAATGTTTCAGACGGATCCGGGCAAAATTCCCGGTTATT